TTTCCCTCTTGCCTTTTTTGCCCCGCCCACCAGAGATGTAAAGGTGAAGTGTGTCGTTTCAGCGCACCAGTGATGTCGCTCAGAGTTGTGAGAATTTGTTCAACACTTCTCAAATTGAGTGCAGAACCTACACTCCTTTTTAAGACCTATACACAGAGCATGATGAAACAAGTCTGTGCATGTGCCATGCATAAGGATAAATATGGCTGCTGACAGTAAATATTTCTACATCTGTTGTACTAAGTATACTGAGGATTAAAGGGGACTGTACTAACGCATTAAAAATACCATAATATGTTTGCAGATATTTAGGAAACTTGCTAAGTTCACATACTTGTTTCTCTGAAAAACAATGCTACCGCCCGTTATTCTACTTTGGAATGTGTGTTCTGTGTCAGAATGTCTGTTTTTGTTTTGATCTGTCTGATTCCGCACACTGCTAGTTTACACAGTAGTATTTCGACACCCCGGGTTGCCAGTTGGCGGAAAACACAGCGTATGGCAGCCATGGAAGTGAGCAAATGAACTGAGCCAGAAATCACAGATTCTTCCCGACCTGAAAAGCCTCAGCATCCATCTAAAATTCTCTATGACCACAAGCATATTTCAATTCGGATTAATCTCATCATTTTACAGATTGCCGCTTGTCACCTTCCATTGTCAATTGCGCTCATTCCTGTTGTGTGTCATCAATCTGGCAACCTGCGTGAGCGTCGACTCTTGAGGAGGATGAGGGGGCGGGAGAAACGACACTCCAATACTGTGAATTTGGACTGCAGTAACCATTTCAACCGCTAGCTGTCAATATTACATACTACACCTTTAAATTCAATTCCCCATTTTGTCTGTAATTGTATTTATGCATGATCTACTTAAGATGGCTAAAACAATAGATGACCGTGTTGAGATGATTACAGTTACTTGCAACTAAACGTGTACAATTTTAATTTTTTTCAGCCATATCTTCCGTGGCCGTTTGCATAAAATGCAGTAGTCTTTGAAAGTTAGTCATCTTTTTTTTTTTTTTCTATAAGACTGGTCAGTAAGTTACATAAAAATGTAGATTGGTCTAAAATAAAATAATTATCATTAGCCCTTGGCGAACTGCTAGTTGGTCAGGCTAATTCTTCAGACACAGAATTACGTTTATATAACTGGCCCGTGGAGAGAAATAGCGCAGACACTGGACAAAGATGAAACTTCGTAGTGCGCATGTGTCGACTGCCAGTGTTTACGTACGTTATAAAATGGTTTATACTTTGAAAGGCTATGCATTCGGCTGAAGTGTTAGCATCAAAACTGAAGTATACTTTGGGCTCTGCTTGTCACGCTGTGGAATTTTTATTACTATGAGAAGCTGGTTCCGGATATGTGACCCAAAATGTTTTTTTGCAGAAACCTATGACCCATAAGGGCAGATTTTTCTAAAAATAATGACACCACAATAGTAGACCAAAATAAAATGTAATTACTTAAAAAAAAAAAAATAGCACAGGAGTCTCTACAACTGGTTCTACAGGAAACAGTGAATCAACAGCTAAAAATGTGCATAGACTTAAAAAGAAGACCGATTATTTCACAGACATAACTGTTTCTCAGCTGGAGCTACACATGCGCTTGACAAAATATTGGTTTTGCCCCATCAAATGAGGTGTGGGTTCCCAGCTGTGGGGAATATGCAACACCGACCAATTTAAAGTCCTGCGCACAAGCAGTCAGTGAGATAGATGATCTGTGTGGTTTGGGCTTGAATGGCGCTGCTGAGGTGTTGTGTGTCTGTCCAGCATGTGTGTAGCATCTGCTGTGTTCGCTCACTGGAGACACTATTAACTTTCTTCTCTACTCCTCAAGCTAGTTTACACATCCTTTGTGTATGTATATTGTGTCGTGGCCTAATGGTTAGAGAGCCGGACTCGTAACCCAAAGGTTGAGGGTTCGAGTCTCGTACCGGCAGGGATTGTAGGTGGGGGGAGTGAATGTACAGCGCTCTCTCCCACCTTCAACACCACGACTGAGGTGCCCTTGAGCAAGGCACCGAACCCCCAACTGCTCCCCGGGCGCCGCAGCAAAAAATGGCTGCCCACTGCTCCGGGTGTGTGTTCAC